TGCACCATGATGAACGTCTATACGTCCAAAGTGCGTTTATTGCATCGGACTATCTCGGACTGGACTAACTTCAGGGACTAAGCTGGAATGACGTGCCCTGGACTAAACTAGATAAGAATAGTGAAGTGTTTGGTGTAGTTTGGACTAAATTACATACTAATTATTTATTATTATTATTTATTTACTTTTGCGTTTAAAAACAACAAAACAACAAATATTAAAATATTTTTTGTAGTTATTTAACATTTAAAAACCTAATTAATGTTTCATTTGCTGCCTTTACTTTTATTTTAGAAGAACAACCTTTATTTTTTGAAGAACGTAACGACATTTCCAAAGCAAATCCTCTATGCTTCTTCATTCCTTTCCGCCTCCTGCCTCTTCACTTCCTCTCACAAAATCGGTTGCAAATCTTAAAATCAAAACACATAGCAAGAAAAAGATTGAAGGAGGCGAGGTGCATGTGTGATTGGCTCGAAGGTAGAAGATAAGGGTTGGATCTAGTTTGGGTTTTTTGGGTGAAATGTTCAAGCTCATCCCACTGCAATTTTTTTTTTCTGGGTTATCTGGGGTCAAATTTTGGGAGTTGGATTTGGTTTTGAAAAGGGAACCTTAGGAAATTTTGTTGCGTTTTTGTTTCGGATTTTGCAGGAGTAGAGTGAAGCGGGTAGGAGTGAAGTGGAGTATAGTGGTCTTAACAGTCCGTCCAATTTCGAGGGGGGGTCTTGCTAAGACCCTGTAACGAAGCCGTTAGTCAGACTCAGTCTAGGCGAGTCTCATTAAACGTAGTCTCCACGTGAAACAAACACCGGATTACAGGCCAGTCTAGTCCAAGAAAGTTTAGTGAAGCCAAACAAACGGGCCCCCAAGGTTTAAGAAATTCTCTTTCTTTCCATTTTCCCCCAAGCTATTTCTATGTTTTAAATTTGAAAGTTCTTTTAAAAAGCACTGTTGTGGCTGCCATGGCCCATTTTTGGTGAGGAGAGGGAATGGGTGATAATGATGCCATTCGTCTGCATTGATTCGTTGTAAATGTGGAGCAGATTACATCAAGTCTTGGTTTTTTTTTTTTTTTTTTTTTTTTTTTTTTGAAAAAAGATTACATGATGCATTCTTCTCAAGGATCCAAATTTTATAGTGCAAATATTTAATAAACTTAATTTTCAATGCTCAATGTTGCTATATATAATTATATATGGCATTCATGCAGATTAAGTTCTACAGTTTATTTATCATGCCTTTCTTTTCATATTGTCTTTTCAGATTCTCCTTGAATTGCGACTCCATGGATTTTCAGATTATAAGAAAGGTACAGATTGGAGGAGCGATGAACTGGCTGATAAAGAATCAAGTTTGGATGGTTCTACTTCTACTTATGGTGGCTCTATTAAGATGAATGGAAGCACTGACTATTTGAATCCTTATTTAACTCCAACTAACTATTTGCAAAGTTACTGGACTAGAGAATCTTGGGAATACTTGTTTTATGAACAGTGTCATGCAATGCTTGGTGCATACTCCGAAGCTGGTTGATTACTTTCTAGGAGATTACCGGAAGGACATAAATTACGCAAATGCACTAGGATTGAAAGTATGTGTTTGGAACATTCTTTTAGTTTTCATTTTAAATGTCTACCTCTCTGACACACCCTAACCCCGATATTCCTGAATATTAGGATAGACAGTTGCTAGCCGACACTCGAGGGTGACGAAGCCATTTAAAACATGCATACCTATAAAATATGTAATTAGAAAGAGATAGTGCATAATCATATTCAAAGCATACAACTAATCAAGAATAAAGCAAAAGAGTTATGATAGAAAGGTATGAACCGAGGATGGATCCTACACAGAGGAGACTCAAGGATGCCTGAGCAGAATTGCCCTAACGTCGGGATCGTGTGCCTCGATTCTAACTCCTGAGGGGGCGCAAAACAGAAAATGTGTGTGGACCATAATTTATATTAATACTAATAAGAGGAAAACCATTTTATTTCTGAACATACTAACCCCCTATTTTGAAAACATATATAATACTACATACAGTAAGTTTCTGAAAACTCTACATGCCATGAAAACATTCGTAAAACATGTACGTGTAAACAATGCTCAACAATGGTGTTATCGTCGCCCGCAGGCAAATCCATAATCTCATCAATACTGTACTCTCTAGGGGTATCATAGTCGCCCGAAGGCAGTACCTGTCCAACACCCGAAGGTGAAGCTGTACAACACAAGGTTATGCCAGTAAAGAAACATGGTAGGCCCCATCACCTGAAGGTGAAGCTGTACGACTCTGGATTACGTCAAACAAGAAAATATATAACATCACACACTGATATTGGTTTCACCAATGGAGTGGGGGTATGGCATAAATATCTCACTCCTCATTCGCTCGAAGGCAGTACCTATCCATCGCCCGAAGGTGAAGCTGTACGACACTAGGTTACGCGAGTGAAGAAACATGGTAGGCCCCATCACCCGAAAGTGAAGTTGTACGACTCTGGGTTACGTCGAAGAAGAAATATATACATAGATATCCTCAACTATGTCCTATGGCCATAGACGTCTACATACCTGTGTTGTGTGGATGTGTTGTATGATAACCTGCTAGATAAGCACCGAGAACATACCTCAAAAATCTCATATCCAAATCCGGAGCTCAAAAGCTCAAATCCTCATCTCATAAATCGATGGTAAATCATATCCGTAATTCCAAATAAATCATAATCATAAATCCATGGAATTTCATAAGCGAAAACACAATATTTCATAACCTTTAGTAAAACGTAAATTCAATAAATCATAATTATTTCGTAAACCACAAATATAGAAGTTCGTAAAGCATAATATAAAAAATACTCAAATCATGAAATGTGAAATGCATGCTAGGCTAATATGTAAGTTTAGAAGGGATCCACTCACAAATATTTTGTTGCCCAAGAGCCGCTCGAACTAGCGAAGATGGTGTCACTTCCCACCGATGCACCTAACCACATATAAAGGCTACTTAATAAAACTCTATTAAAACGATCGAATTTCAGAAAACGAATAACGGAGTTGGATTCGGCACGTCGAAAAACTTAAAGGGGGACCTCAGCTACCAACAGAGTTTCATCATCTCTTAAGCAACATGTGGTGCTTAAGGCATTAGTAAGATCCATCAACCTCCCACCCTGGGGCACTGTCATTGTAGATGGCATTGCAGTCCCATCTGTGCTTAGGACCGTCAAAGTCATAGTCCGCATTGATGTTGACGGTAACGGTAGTGAAAGGTACATAAATGGGTCAAGGATAACAGACGCCTTGTTGCAAATGAGGCAAACCAATTTTGACCGGTACTGATCCTACAGTTGGAAAGCAAACATATATTGCAATATAGGGAAAATAATTGAATGAAGTTAATCCCAACAAACTTACTTTAAGAAGGTATAGGTAAAACTTAAATCACCAAACTACAAATGCATTTAAATCAGAATGCTTACTTGGCACACATCAACAATGATTGAGTCATTCTGAGTGATGGGATTTTTACCATCCGCGCAAAAGGGTTAAAAACACCTAAAATACTTGCAAGGGAAACAAGATTGTCGTAGTATAGTTGACTCAAGCAAGGTCGTTCTCCACAAGGATTAATTTAAATAGATTAACACCAAACCGATTCTCAACTAATTATTTAGAACAAAATTTTGGAAAAGGGTGATTTAATGACCTAAATTAATAAAAACGAATTTAATTAAAAAGCTTACTTAAAAACTGCAATTTTAAAGAAGGAGAAAGAAACAATTTTTAGAATTTAAAGTGAGAAGATACTAGGGTTCCGCCGTCACCCTAACAATTCTATGTAGCTTTTGTAATTACTTATGAACCATACATGCATATTTTGAAGGTTAGGTTTTCCTAAAGTATATCCTACTTAGAACCTCCAACATAGAACGAATATCTAACATGCAACCCGTCTGTGGTGTCCAGATCGAATGTGAACATGCAAGACTCATTAAGTTTTATGAAAACCCTTTGAAAAACCGTATAACCCTTAAAACGTGTAGTCCATCCTAAGAGATTACACATATTAATCACAAGAAGTCTTAGTCAATTTCAGGGACAACCCTCCGCCAAAATTGCATCAAATTACTTTTCTAAATATCCTAATGGTCACGAATCACTAAGACAGATAGATAGTTTGAATCGGTGATTAACAATTCAAAACTTGCATACATGAATTCATAAGAAAATTAAGAAGAAACTACATATTATTGCTAAGGATCATGGCCTCACCCTAGCAAAAGAAAATTAGTTGCACATATTCATAATAAAAATCATAAAGTCTTTATTGAAATAGAAAAAGAGTGAAAACACCTTGAAAGTAAAAGTCTTCAAATCTCTAAGCTTTGCCCCAAAAGTTTCTCTAAAAATTGTATGCATTCTCTCTCTCCGAAAAAACCCTAGGTCTGCCAAAAGGCTTATTTTAAACTACTCTAAATAAAATCCTCCTAATAAAAGGTCTAGAATAAGACTAGGAAACTAAATAAATTAAAAAAAATAGGAAACATAATCCTAAATTAACTTGGTAAATTCGTCCAAAAATCTGCACAACCACGTTTTGGACCCAAATCAGCTCCAAAACTAGCCCAAAATAGCTGGATCTAAAGCTTTGACTATTCTGAACACTTCTCCAGAAGGCTATGAACCCATCCGAAGTCATCTTGGACTCCAAAAACGTAGTTTGAGCCCAGAAACGTTACTTTCCAACAACGCGCACCGCTCCTTCATTTAATCTCCAGAAAATAACCGTTTGGTAGAAATTGCTCAGATTTTGACACGAATAAGCTAAGGAACACATGAACATCCTCCAATTTGAATCACTCCAGAATTCGTCCCTTTGGTCATGTTTTGCTCCAGAGGAAGTTGAATGTCCTATGTTGAAAATATAAAGCAAAGTATCAAAATTCTACCAAAATAATTATCAAATTATACTAAGCATAGGGTGAAATATATAATATAATTTTGACTCATCACCGAGCAAGGTGATTTTGCCAATATCCTTCTGCTACTTCATCATCTCGACAACCCTCGACATCCTTAGCTTCAATATATGGCTTGAATTTTACACGATTTAGATCTTCATGGAGACCATCCAACAAAAAAGCAAGAAGTTCCTACAAGAGGCACTTCAACAACTTACAATTAATAAACCTATTTCCCGCACAACATAATTAAACATTCCCACCAAGAAAAAAAGAGAGAATAAACATAAAAAGAACTGACCTGGGAATCATGCTGATTATAGCCACTGAATTGGGGAGCAAAATTAGCAAGTTTTAACTTGAAAATTGTTGGAGCCACTGGCCTTGCATTAGGAGCCCATAACCTCCTCAACAACTCTCCAAATGCTAAAGCAACAAGATGCATAACATTTTTGTTCTAGTACTTTGTCCATAGACTCAATACCAGCTTCCCGAAATATCTTTCTAAGAGCATTGCAAGTGTAAGATATTATGCACTTGAGCCTATTGAAGTAAAGTGTGACTCGGGATAACATTTGTTTTGACATTTTGGTGTCTGTAGAGTTTCAACTGGTCGCGTGTTACCTGAACTTTTACGCTTTGTAAATATTATATACCAAAATTTATTTATGTTGTCAGTGCTTCTTATAAAGCATGTGTAATGCAGATTCCGGGGTCTATGAGCCAGTATAATGGTGTGATTCATGGCCTTCAGGAATAGGAAAGAATGAAGGTCTGCAAGGCCTCTACAGGTATGCCTTATTCCGTTTCTGCTCATTCGTAGGCTGGAAGAATAGTTCTTTTTATCATCCATGAGTCGTTTTCATCTCTTGTCCTACCCAGCCATTTTAAACCAAATTTCCATTGAGTTGTATGCTTGATATGACGATAGCATGACCCGATTTTCTTATCATCGTTGTCAGGGGATTGACTCTGAGATTGGTTATCTATATGTCTCAAGGAGCGATATGAATTTTTCAAGAGATTTTTCTCTTTGGAGTTTGGAGAGTCCACAAGCTGATGTTCTTTAGAATCCAATACCAACAAAATGGGAAAATGATCGGGTGTCGCCATCAGCAATCTTGTCCAGGTTCACCAGCATCATCTGAACTACATGGTCTGCACTCGTGACCATTTGAGAGAGACAAGAATTCTTCAGCTTTGGTAGTAGAATGAATTGAATTCAAAATTTGTTTGTGAAAATTGTTGAAAAGAAAAGGATGTACAGTTAGCGGGGGACCGTAGGTGCAAATGTGCATCCGATGTGTGCAAATGTGGATCAATATGTGCAAGTGTGGATCCATATATATACATTTTGTTTATTACTGGAAAATAAAATTAGACCTCTAACCATATAATATAAGTTGGATGGATGAAGTGGAAGAATGCATCATGTGTGTTGGGTGACCGTCGTATATCACTAAAACTCAAGAGAAAATTTTATAGTACGGCAATATTGGTTGCTCAAGCATTAACACCTACACAAAATGAGTGTAGTTGAGATAGAACGTTTTGTTTGTGTACACAAGAAAAGTTAGGATTAGGAACGAGGATATCCATGGTAGAGTAGGAGTAGCCGAAAATGAAGATAAGATGAGAGAAAATCAGTTAAGGTGGTTTGAACATGTGAAACGAAACCTACAGACACTAGGGTTAGAATATGCGATAATTAGATAGGCTCAAGCCAAATGGATAGAGAAAGACCTAGGAAGACTTGGAAAGAAAATCTAAGAAATGACTTGGAGTACTTGGAGTACTTGAAGCTAAACGGAAGACTTAGCACAAAACCGAACGCATGGATGTTCTAGTATTCACACTAACCCCACTTAATGAGAAAATGTTTTGTTATTGTTGTTGTTGCAATGTAACCTTATTTTCATTCGAGAATTATACAAAATTTACGGGAAAAAAAGGTTGCAATTCTCTTTTGCACAACTGGTGAGTTTGCACTTGCAGCACTTGGTCCAAACTAATTTTGACGTCAGCATTTCAACGATTCAAACTTAAATCTCTTTCGAAATTATAAATAAAAGTACCTAGGAAAACAACACGCCACCTGATAGAAGATAATATTCATCAGATAAACTTTAACAGTGAAATAAAGATGTTTGCAAAAAACATTAAAGATTAGCAAAGCAATAATCCATTGAATTAGTCATGAATTTATGGAAAATTATTTGCTAACAAAGTTTGTAATGGCTCCACCATCCATATTATTTGCAAAACAGAAAGGACTGCTATGTTAATTGCTATCTCCCAATTCTCATATGCTCTACTTATTCCTTCCCTACAGGTTTCCATATGAACAGTTTCGTATGCTGTTGCCATTTTGATTTTAAATGTCGTTCAAGAACGAATTGAATGATACATTAGAGATGATTTAAAGACGATTGGGACCCCTCTGTGGTGCTAACCCTCCGGCCATGGCAAGCCTTGGTGGCTTCAGAGTCTGTAATGATTTCAGGAAGCCATTTTCGCCTGACTGAGCTGGCCATCGAGCCGCGCCACAACTTTTTGATAACAAATGACCCTCACTATCACTGTATCATTGCCTTTGCCATCTGTTGCCAATGCCCTTCCACTTGGTTTTGGTTACTGGCTAGACTAGAGATCATCTCTAAATCCGTTGTGGGATTCTCTGTAGCAAACTGTAGATGCTGCTTGAAATCTACACCCGAGCAATTGGAGAGAATGGTGGGTTGAGTACATAAGATGGTTGGACTTTTTTCACCCTCGTAGCTACTTCCTTTTTCTCCCCTACGGTAACTGCTTCAATTAGGTACTTCACTTCTTCCTCAATCAGGACTTTCAATGATTTGCGTTGTCACAACTGTGTGTTCCTCTCCTGCCCCGCGGCCTGTACCGTGCAGAATGGCAACACATGTAGAAAATGCTTGTAGTGTAGATAACTGAGCATGAAAATCAACTGCATAGTGTCCCTCTTTAACCATCGTCATAGTTAATGCCGGTGCTTTCTCCCTTGATCCCTACAAACAAATCAAAATCGAGCAACAGCTCATGAGATTGCCTACATCTGTTACCAAGCATGAACAAAAAAGATGAAGAACGAAATTAGCAGCAAGTCAACTACGATCCTTCAATGGGGAACGAGCAAAATCGAACCCGTTGTCTTTAGAATTCTTCTTAGTTTAGAATTTAACAACAGAACTTCATTTATCCAATTCAAGCTATGATCACGAAAATTTTCTCCAACATCAAAGATGTTTACCTGAACAAAAAGTTCCATAGGCTTCTGATTCTCCACCAATAGTTGATTATCAGCATTTTGAGTGTGGGGATTGCTTAAGACAGTAAGAGGATAGGATATGTCCCAGATACCATAGTCGCAGCCTCCACCCAACCTCCATCGATCTAGTAATGATGAATGACCCCTGCTTCCAGCACTCGGCATGCCATGGTTTCAGCTGGTACTACCACCATTAAGTTTCCTGGACGTCGGCTATCAGGGGCAACCTCTTTCTTCTGTTCACCCACAGACAGTAGGTTTCGATGTACGTTATCACTAAGTTCTCTCTCTTTTCTAGCGGAACTTGCATAACAATGGCTGCAATTTCAAGGTTTGGATGTAAATCTGCAGATGGCCAGGCTCAAGAATCATTATCACTGTTTTCGGAAGCATGTTTTTATTGAAATTTGACCTTGGTAGGACAAGACTCATCCGACTTTAAAGTTGCCCCCACTGTGCCTGGATTGGAACCTTTGGGAGGTTTAACATCATCAGGGGTACACTTCGAGTTTTATTGGGTAGCACATGTTTGCCTTGCATGAGCAATATCATACAATACAAACTCCGTCACCATGGAATTTTCGAAAACTCCATCTTTGAGTTCCGAACATAGATAACAGGAAACTTGCATCTGTCCCACCATTGAAGAATCTCTGTCACTATCATATAATCCCCAACCACTAGCATTGCTCTTCTTTCTACTTCCTATGGAGTGAAAGGTATACACCCAATTAATCGCATTATCTGCTTTCCATGTCCTAGCCACAAAGACATCTTTTAAGCACTCCAACGAGAACTCAAAAAATGGCATTCCGTGTTTATTTTGTAACTTGAGATGGCCATGTAGGTGAACTGGTGAACATGCAACAGAAGATTGGTGGTTATCTCAGTTCGTAAACTGGGGTTCACAATTTGGACTCTCTGCAGTATTTGAAAAGACTGCCAACACCGACTTTTGATATGACCTGTTTCCCGTCATGTTTGCCAGCACAGTAGTTTTGGCTCCACCAGGTTCCACTTCATAACTCGGAGTTCTCAAAGACTTGGACTTCATGAACGGATCAAACATCTTTCTAATAAGGCTGAACCGGGTCTTTGAGTTGACCCTGGACAAACGTGCACTATCTGGTAGGGAAGGAAAAATGAGCATTTCCACCTTAGCAGAGAAAGACTTGTGCAATGTGTGAACTTGGTCTCTTTCCAGAAGTGCATTACCATTGTTTAGAGGTCTGGCTAAAGAAAAACAAATCTTCTTCTGTAAGATTGTATTTCATTGACTGAATAAACAATTACATGGATGTACATTTATATAGCCTTTTGGCTCTTTACATTTATACCTTTAGCTTCCTTAACTAAACTTGTACAATCCTAACTAACCACAACTAATAACAAAACTAACTACATTTAGTTTTTCCAAACTATTTATCATTAACAGAAATGGATGATGTATCATCTGTCCTAATACACCCCCTCAAGCGAGAGGAGGAATCAGAAGTGATGCCAAGAGGAAGCTTGGAACACAAGTAGCGGAATCTGGTTTTGGACAAGGACTTGGTGTGTAGATCAGCCAATTGATAAGCACTGCACACAAACTGCACTTTAAGCAGATGAGCTAAAACCAGTTCTCTAATGTAGTGGTAGTCAATCTCGACATGCTTAGTGCGAGCATGGAATACAGGATTTGAAGCTAAGGAAATGGCGGAGATGTTATCACACCACAGAGTAGGCAGTGTAGGAATAGAACAGTGAAGGTCACGAAGAATTTTGCAGACCCAAGTGAGTTCTGCAGCTGTGTGAGCCAGAGACCGATATTCGGCTTCTGTAGAAGAACGAGCAACAGTGCTTTGTTTCTTTGCACTCCAGCTGATGAGATTAGAGCCAAGAAAAACACAATAACCAGTAGTCGACCGCCGATCAAATGTGCAGCCAGCCCAATCAGCATCTGAGTAGGCAGAGAGAGCAACAGAACCTTTGGTAAACCACAGTCCTTGGGAAAAAGAACCTTTGAGAAAACGGAGGACTCTTTTAGCGGCCTGAAAATGTTGATCACGCGGAGTATGCATGAATTGACATAACTGATTAACAGCAAAAGCAATGTCCGGTCTAGTCCAGGTGAGGTATTGAAGACCTCCAACAAGAGACCGATATTCAGTCGGATTGGAGAGAAGTGACCCACTGTGATCCAGTTTTTGAGAGCCAAGAGGTGTGCAGCAAGGCTTTGCACCCTCCATATTTGTCCGCTGTAGAAGATCAAGTAAATATTTTGTTTGATGAAGAAAGATCCCGTGGGAAGACCTCTGAACTTCCAACCCCAAAAAATAGTTTAAAGGACCAAGATCCTTCACTGGAAATCTGTCACTTAGCTGCTGAATAAACTGATGACAGAGAGTGGAGTTAGGCCCAGTGACAAGAATGTCATCCACATACACAAGAACTATAACCAACTGAGGACCATGCAATACAAATAAAGATGCATCAGAGGAGGATTGGGTGAAACCAAGAGCATGTAATGCTTGAAACAGTTTATCAAACCAAGCGCGAGGCGCTTGTTTGAGTCCATACAACGATTTTCTGAGCTTGCATACATGATCTGGAAGGAGAGGATCAATGAAACCAGGGGGTTGTTGCATGTAAACAACCTCTTTTAAGTCACCATGAAGAAATGCGTTGCTAATATCTAATTGATTTAAGAACCAATTGTGTTGAACAGCAAGAGTAAGCAGAATTCGAATGGTAACCGGTTTAGCAACCGGACTAAAGGTTTCTTGGAAATCAATTCCCTCTTGCTGATGAAAGCCCTTGGCCACTAGCCGGGCTTTGTATCGATCAACAGTACCATCAGCTTTTGTCTTGACACGAAACACCCACTTGCAGCCGACGACATTTGGAGTGGAATGAGAAGGAACTAGAGACCAAGTCCCTGTAGATAGTAATGCATTATATTCATCCTGCATAGCAGCCCTCCAGTGAGCATACTTAGACGCTTGTAAATAGGTGCTTGGAACAAAATCAAGAGGAACTGGGAGTGGATGTTTAGTTGCTGCATAAGCCTTAGGTTTGTAAATTCCTGCCTTAGATCTAGTAATCATAGGATGATCATTAACAGAAATGGGAAGAGGGCGTGGCACAGGTGGTGATACATCAGGACTTGCAGTTGGTGATACAGCAGGACTGGCAGGCATAGAGGCAAGAGGAGAAGCACCCGGTGAAGAAAGAGACCTCGGGCTAGAGGAAGATGAAGTAGCAGCACCTGGATTAGCAGGTTGAGTAAACTTGCTAAAGTAAAGGTCCATGGAAGAAGAAGAAACTGGAGAAGCAGTGGCTGACCGAGAGTAATGAAGAGGCAGGGACTGAAAAGGATATGCGTCTTCATGAAAAAGTACATGTCTAGAGATGTAGACTCGGTTGTCAATAGGATCAAAACAGCGATAGCCTTTGTGTTGAAGACTGTAGCCCAAAAATATACAGCTCTTGCTCTTAGCATCCAGTTTACTATGCACATAAGGTTTGAGCCATGGGAAGCATTGACAGCCAAATACTCTGAGTTTGGAATAATCCGGCGGCTGAGTAAATAAAATTTCCCAAGGAGAGATTGTAAGACCAGAGATGGGCAGGCGATTGATAAGGTATATGGCAGTCGAGAAGGCTTCTACCCAAAACACATGAGGTACATGAGAAGCAACAAGTAAAGTACAAGCTGTTTCAACAAGGTGGCGGTGCTTCCTCTCGGCACATCCATTTTGTTCGGGAGTATGCGGATAGCTAAATTGATGAAGAATACCATGTGTGCGAAGAAAGGAAGCAAAAGAGTTACCAGTGAACTCACCCCCTGAATCTGAACGCAAAGTTTGTATTTTATTTCCAAGTAAATTTTCTACATAGTTTTTGAAGATAACAAATGTAGAAAATACATCAGACTTTGCTTTCAAAGGGAAAAACCAGCTATATTTACTAAAATCATCAACCAGAAGTAAGTTGTACTGGAAACCACTACTAGATTTAACAGAAGCAGGTCCCCACAAATCACAGTGCAACAGTTGAAGGCTGCGAGTTGAAGTTGAAGAAGCCACTCCAAAAGGAAGCTTGTGGTTCTTAGCTAGAGCACAGTCTGAACAGAAGAAGTCAACTGAAGATTTACCATGCACTGCAAGCTTATTAGTAGAGATGACCCTGCGAAATATTGAAGAAGATGGATGACCTAAGCGTTGATGCCACACTTTGACAGGAGCTTTAACACTGAGAAAGGCAGAGTGTAATGAAGGAAAAGAGGTACTCGAACTTTGCAGTGGATAGAAACCATCTCTAACCGGTCCCCGCAAAAGCATCCTCCCCGAAGTACGATCCTTGACAGTGGATCCATAAGGGTCAAGAGTTAATTCACAATCATTATCCTTAAGAAATTGATAAGCAGATAAAAGATTATGTGCCATGGAAGGAACATGAAGAACATTCTGCAGCTTAAACGAATGATGAGGAGTATACAGAGAAGAGGAACCAACATTATGAATGGATAAACCTTTACCATTTCCAATATACACTTTGTCCTCTCCAGTGTAGGGAGTAGGAGAAGAGATGTTAGCAATATCATTGGTGATGTGAGATGTAGCTCCAGAATCAATTAACCAAGGCTGAGATGGTTTAGCAGAATGATGTACACACATGGCAGCAAGTTTAGCTGGAGGAATACGACCACAGATCTCGGGGTTCATGCGATCAAAGCAGTCAAGGGCCTCATGACTGGTAGATCCACAAATTTGACATTGGACTTTGAAGGTAGAAGAACCGGGATGATTGCGCGAGCCTTGATAAATCCGATTACCACGATTAGGATTGAAATTACCACGAGAATTGCGATTTCCTCGATTGGAAATGAATTGACTCCTGGGAGGCTTGCCACGATTGGAGTTGTACCGAGAGGCAGAGTGAAGTGGTAAAGACTGAGCAGCAAATGCCGAGGGAGTAGGAAGCAGAGGAGGCTGAGACTGCACAGAAAAGGCCTGAAATGGTTCAACCACAGATGCTGAAGCGACTGTCTTCCTTCGAGCCATAGAAAGCTCCTTGGTAAGTAAGAGACCGTGAAGTTCATCCAGAGACGTTGAAGACAAACGAAGCATTATAGAATCAATGAAGGACTCAAACTCATCAGGCAAACCATGTAAAGTAGCAGCAATTAGATCACGATCAGAGACGGAAGCACCTGCAGCATGTAATGAATCTGCAATTTCCTTGATTTGCTGGAGATATCCCGAGATAGAATTGGAGCCTTTCTGTACCGATTGAAGGCGTGAGCGCAATTGATGAATATTAGCCTCCGAAACACCACCAAAACGCTGTTCAAGCTTCACCCAAAGCTCGCGAGAGGACGAAACGCCAACCGTGAACGGAATAATCTCTTCAGAAAGTGTGGAATTCAACCAGATCAGCAGATTTTGATCTTTTTCATACCATTCTTCAAAAGCTGGATTCAGTGAGCGATCAGCCAAGAGAGGCGGTGGACAGATCTCAGTGCCTTCAATCACACCGAGAAGTTTATAACGCTGGAAAATAGGAGCAAACAACGCTCGCCATGGAAGATAGTTGGAGCTTTTCAGTTTAATCGGCACCATACTACCAATGTTGTGAATCGTCAGAGAAGTGTACGAATTCAGAGAAGGAGGATTAGAAGAGAAATTAGGGTTTGGAGTCAGAGAAGATCCAATTGGGGACGAATCTGACGGAAGCAATGATCTCGAACAAGAATCAATCGACGAACAGAAGAGAAATCAGAGAAGAAAGAGTGAAGAATCAGAGTTGAAACACCAAGAATCGATCAAGAGAAGATCGATCGATGCGGAAGATGGATACGATGCTGTGAAGCAAAAAGGCTCTGATACCATAAAGAAAAACAAATCTTCTTCTGTAAGATTGTATTTCATTGACTGAATAAACAATTACATGGATGTACATTTATATAGCCTTTTGGCTCTTTACATTTATACCCTTAGCTTCCTTAACTAAACTTGTACAATCCTAACTAACCACAACTAATAACAAAACTAACTACATTTAGTTTTTCCAAACTATTTATCATTAACAGAAATGGATGATGTATCATCTGTCCTAATACTGGCAACAGCATCACTTCTTAGTTTTAGATCCACTGAGAAGTCTCTTAAAGCTTCAGCAGAGTGATTTTCCCTGTTATCTGGATCCATACAAATATCAATTAAGCTATCTGACGAACATGGTTCAACATGAGGCCGTCCAACAGATGGTGCATTCAAGTCCGATTTCAAAGATACTACTGAAGACCTATTATGTGAGCTTTCCTCATCAGAACTACGCGGCATTTGAACCTTTCTCCTTCCTTCGACAGTGCCCATTTTCTTAATATATTGTACCTCTTTGGAGCTTTGATATATCGAACCACGCTTAAGGTCTACGTTAACAACAGGCCTAGATGGAACACTTTTACAAGAAGCACTGCGATAGCGATGAAAGCTAATTTCCACAAAATCCTCCTTTATGCTCAATAAATCATCTTTACGTTTTAATTTCCCTTTTGTGCTCCTGTTTTCAACATGGGAACGATGACCATGAGTCAGAAGCACAGTGTTAGGACTCAAATCCGCCGTGCAACTTCTATCGAAGTTCATCTCTAGTCCCATTAACAGATAGAAAACTCTGCAACAACTATGGAAACAATAACAAGAACAAAAATCAAGACCTGCAGGATTGAATTTAATCCTAACAATACTGATACTGCTAAAAATGACATGCAATTTCTACAACAAAATTCTTTTCCCAAAATAGGCAGGAAAATACAAACAACAACAACAACAACAAAGCTTTATCCCACTAAGTGGGGTCGGCTCAGCATGCCACTTACGGGTGACGACCTAGCGTTAGCGCAATTTCGTATATAATTCATTATCATAAAGATTCGACATAAGAATGGAGTGTCGGCTGTCGACTACCAAATGCCCTCCCCCTCCCCCTCCTCCTTTATCTGGGCTTGGGATCAACAATGTAAGATAAACTTACACAGACGGAGTATACACCAAAGAAAATAGGCAGTACATTGAATAAAAATAAATACACCAAAGAAAAGCATTCAGCTGCAACAAAAATTGACACCAATGGCAGTTATTACATCTCATATGCCAAATAAATCAGATTTTTCATCTATTTTTCATGTTTTGCAACAGACAATTGGAAAGGAATATGCTTTCTGCAAATATTGATAAGAACAGAAGAAATTAGATTTTAAAGAGCAATTGAATTACACAAAAAATACTGATGGCAATGCATTTTTCTATCTGTAGAAATTAGATATCCTAATTTGCAAAATTCCTAAAATTCTTGAAAAAATAATAGTTGAATAATTCTCACCTTGCAAAAACCATTCTTTGAAAAGGCACAAAACCCATCAAAGATTCCAAACTCTGAGATCACATAAACCTCAAAAAACCAGAACTTGATCTCTCCAAAAATGAAAACCCATAAACCAAACGCACACAAGAAATTCTATTGACTACAAAAGCACCCAAATGAGAAAAGCAGTACAGCTAAAAGCTACATATTCTCTAAAAAATTAAAAATTAAAGAAAAGAACTTGCTTGTAATTTCACATGCATTTGAACTTTTGAAGCCAACAAAAAAAGTAATAGTTGCAGAAAATGAGCTTACCCTAGGGCTGGGTTCGGTTCAAAACGGTTCGGTTTTTTGCCAAAACCGAAACCGAACCGAAATTTCGGTTCGGTTCGGTTCGGTCCATTTTTTTTCGGTTTTTTTTCGGTTCGGTTTTTTTCGGTTCGGTTTCGGTTTTTTTCGGTTTTTTTTTTTTTTTTTTTTTTTTTTTTTTTTTTTTTGGGAAAAATGAAAACAAAATTGAAATCTAAAATTTTAACATCTCCAACACAATTATAACATAAGCATTCTAACACAATAAACAAAATTTATATGAAAAATGCACACATCTTTAAAATACAAAGTACAAGCCTATCATTCCTAAACATGAAGTCGTTTAATTACCATACCTGTTTCACCATCAACTGCATGAACACTATCAGTAATTTATTTGAAGGACCACAAAGCCATTATCTGGACGTCTAGTATTCAAAGGATAATCTAAAATTGAACACCACCCAGTTAATTTGAGACAATACAGATGCATATAACCAGTTTTCTCTAAAGTGATATAAGTATATCTTATATAAATCATGTCAACAAGAACAAGCCTGGATGTTCAATTCTATTTGTTCTCTGAGAAATCAATACCAACTTCATATATTGTCCAGATCCGTTTACAATTTAAACTCTAATACTCATACATAATGTAGTCAAGAAACAATATGCTCTATTGATGCTAGGTTTGATGGAAATCTTCCTTCAGCACCAAAAACGTTATCCATAATAAAACGCTACTCAGAGAATTGCAATGCCTATGCTACTTTTCAGAACACGTTACCAATGAATCTTTGGTCTTTTCCATCATGACTTAGCAAGTCCAAGAGTCCATAACCTAAATGAAAATACATGTTTAACAAGATTTTTACCACTAAAAGAACAACATATGATTTACAACCTTCAACAACATGTCAAATTTGCAGGGCCATAGTTTCACTTAAGGAAATACAAGAGTCGGCAGAGAAATTCAAAGATAACAGGTAATCACATATCATGGAAGCTCTGATTCCCAGAGAAATATACTTATCTCCATCCTCTTTCAAATTATACATAAAAGTAGGCTATCTATCGTCACTACACCTTGCCAAACCATAAAGCTGCTGATTTCCTCCAATAGCCGAGCTTCCACATATATATTACCAGCTTGACAGATTACCCCAAAAACAAAATGATAAGTCAAACATGATCAAATTGTTCCCAAATTAAGACGAAGAAAGAAACTGCAAAAGTAGCTCAAAAAAATCCAACTGGGTAACAAGTAAGCAAAAGTTCCCAACTCAAATTTAGCATGCAATTAAAAATGAATGAGCAAAAAAAAATTCAGAAGTACAAAAAAAAGACAATTACTTTCTATTTCCCTAACCTCAAATTTCTCCCCTGAGCAAATTTAACATACAATTAACTGATTAAGCAAAAAAAAATGAATGAGCAAAAAAAATTGTAAAGAAGTGGGAAAGAACACAGAACACCTTGATTTTTGTGTACTTTTCGTAGAGTTTGGAGTAGAGAGCTTCCGTCTGCGAACGAACAAGAAGAAGCTCACGGCGAGACTAACCTTTTGCAGTCGAGACTCGAAACGGCAAGAAGAAGCTCACGGCGAGATGAAGGACTGACGGCGAGGGCGAGGTGTGAGAGATTGAGAGTGAGATGGGTCGCCCCGTCGTGGGTCGCCTGAGATTCAAGACCGAGAGAGACAGAGAGTTTGAGAGAGACAGAGAGTGATTGAAGTTGAAGACCGAGAGAGAGAGAGAGGAGGCTAACCTTTTGCTATCGAGACTCGAAACGGCGAGATGAGAGACTGATGGAGAGGGCGAGGTGTGAGAGATTGAGAGTGAGAAGGGTCGCGCTGTCGCGGGTTGCCTGAGAGATTGAGAGAGACAGAGCGATTGAAGACCGAGCGAGAGAGACAGGAAGCTCAGGCGGCGCGAGAGGGTTACTGGGTTAGGGTTCATAGAGGGAGTCTGGAGGCAGGGAACAAGAGAGAGAAGAGGGGAATGAAAAATAAAAAAGTTAGGGTTAAAGGATTTTGTTGATTTCTCAACAAAATTAAAAAACAATCTCATAAATCCTAAAGGCATGAGGGTTCGAACCCATTGCCACCAGTGTGAAAAATTTCGCTTAAACCAACTTGGCAACAAGTTCTGTTTTGTTATGATTGTATGCCTAAACTATTTATAATATTGAAAAAAAAAATTAAATATATATATATCGGTTCAGTTCGGTTCGGTTCAGTTTTCGAACCTCAAAAACCGAAACCGAACCGGTCAGATTCGGTTCGGTTCGGTTTGACAGTTTCGGTTCGGTTTTTTTTCGGTTCGGTTTTTTTCGGCCTCGGTTCGGTTCGGTTGTCGGTTTTTTTCGGTTTTCGGTTTTTTGAACCCACCCCTAGCTTACCCCACCAGTAGATCTCTTAGAGCAGTTCCAGCGTTGGCTGGTGCTCGGGGGAAAGGCTGGTGAACAGGGTCGTAGAGCCCGAGTGAAGTGCTCCGGCGTGTGGGAGCCCGAGGGACAGGCCAGGCCCGAGCAACAAGCCTATGAGGAATTGCCAATCCGCGAGCCCGAGTGGATGTGACACCAGGATTGACGTCATCCTGGCGTCAGCCCAATTTTATATTTTTTTCTGTCAGGCGCGTGCACCTCACCCGCACGTGGGGGCGTGTCAGCCAACACCTTTTCAGAAGCCAGGCTCGCGTCGCAATCTGCCGATGTTACCGTTGGGAAGCCACGTGGCTTCCTACAGTCCGTTCGATCTCAACGGCTCTTTAAATTGGACCGTCCGATTTGCAATGGTAATAAAAATAAAATAAACTTATTTAATATCAACCGTTGGATCTGAGATCAACGGTTGATATTATTCTGCTTTATAAATAAATAAATAAAAGAAAAAATAGTTTTAAAATTAAGAAAAGTTACCGTTGTGACACGTGGCACAATCTGGAGTGTTGGAATTCAATTTTTTTTAAATCAAACGGCAGAGATTAATTAGTTCAATAAAAAATTGTAAAAAATTGTAAAAAATCCGAAAAAGTATCTGAAATTTTTTTAAAAAAAATTGTTTTTACTTTTCTATAAATACCTTCTCATTATCATCTACCTTATACCACAATTTCATATTTTCTTATTGTCGGAAATCCATCACCAATAATTGTCTTTTTCGGATTATGATACGTGGTGCAACGAGAACGATTAAAAATCTTATCCAAAATTACAAATAAAATTATTTTGTATTATTTTATAAATAAAAAAAATACTAATATTTTATTGTCTATTGTCAGGGGAAGGGCTTCCACACTGGAGATGCAAAAGGTAATTATTGTTCGCTGGGTGGATTGAATAGTGAAATGTCTGGGGAGAGGGCTCCCACGCTGGAACTACTCTTAGATAAGTGAAGCCAAAGGAAAACCCACCAAACTACTAGCAAATGCAATCATGTTCTTCAATCTCTTCCACTCAAAGTTTCCTCAAATCCTCAACAGCAAAAAAACACCAAACTCCCAAAAGTGTACTAAAAGTAGTAATAATAATAAATAAATATATATATCACTTAGGATAAAAAGGAAAAGAAGAAACTAATCAACAAGTGTGACATCCCACATTGTCCAGAGGAGTGGATCATGTAAGCCTTATATGTATATTCTCATCTCTACCTAGTACAAGGTTTTTTGGGAGCTCACTGGCTTCGGATTCCTTAGAAACTCTGAAGTTAAGCGAGTTCACAGCAAGAGCAATCCCAGGATGGGTGACCCACTAGGAAGTTCTCATGTGAGTTCCTAGAAACAAAACTATGAGGGCGTGGTCGGGGCCCAAAGCAGACAATATATCGTGCTACGGCGGAGTCGAGCTAGGGATGTAGTGGGGGCCCGGGCCGAGATGTAACAATTTGGTATCAGAGTCAATCCCTGGCCGGATGTGTGTCGACGAGAACTTCGGGCCCTTAAGGGGGATGAATTGTGACATCCCACATCGTGCCAGGGGAGTGGATCCTATAAGCCTTATGTCTATTCCCATCTTTACCTAGCACGATGCATTTTGGGAGCTCGCTCACTGGCTTCGGATTCCTTATGAATTTTGAAGTTAAGCGAGTTCGCAGCAAGAGCAATCCCAGGATGGGTGACCAACTAAGTGTTGTGCCTTGGCCCGTTCATTAGTGCGGAAACGAGATTCAGATTACAACCTCACTAAATCACACTCAGTTGAACAGAATAAAATACACGAAATAAAGACACCGAATTGAACAAAAACCTGCCTACGTCCCCGGAGAGATGTTGCTCTTCACTATGAGAATAACAGTACAAGTACACATGAGTTAAATCAACATAATCCAATCCCAAATCCCTTGCACACCCACTCATAGAATTTTCCCAAGAGCCTCACTCTACCCCAAGAGTTCTTTCACTAGAATACTTTTCACTCTAGCTCTCTTGATTTTCTCTCAACCCATGTTCAACCTTTTCCATGGGATAGCCGAATGCTCTCTCCACCTTGGATGTTTTTCTGATGCTTACCTTCTCACTCGGCAAGCCCTTTTCACTTATAACAACAAAAGAAAACCACCTTTGAAAAGGCCACAAATCAAGGGCTAGACATGATGATGTCTCCCTTTTTCTTTGTCCCTTTCTTTAGCCAAAAGTAGATGTCTCCCTTTTCCTTTGTCCCTTTCTTTAGCCGAAAGTAGCTAGCACTCCACATGGTTGAGATGAAATTGTTGCCAACTCATAATTATATGAGCCAATCACAACACTAAGTAGTTCTTGTGTGAGTTCTTAAAAATAAAACCGTGAGGACGTGGTCGAGGCTCAAAGCGAACAATATCGTATTACGGCGGAATCAAGCCCGAAATGTCACAACAAGGGCAAGAGCAGTAAAGCATGAGAGACGCAAAAAGTGAGGTCTAGCGACAGAGAAAAGGAGAGATGATGAGGTGAGACAATGTAATAAGGAAGAGAAAGCATGCCGAGAGAGAGAGAGGGAGAGGGGGAGGAAAGAGAGTACTTCACATTGAAAATCTTTGAGTCTCTCAAGTCATACACAAAGAGTTTTGTTGCATTGAAGACAAAGAGCTGACGCGCTTCTGTTCATTGCAACTCATCATATGCTGTTTTTTTTTTTTTTTTTTTAATTTCTGTTTCTTTTTAATTTCTTTATTGTTTTTAATTTTCTTTTCTGGGTTAATAATTTATTTGTACATGTGGCGGCCTTGGAGAGAGCACCCATGTGTAGAAAGACTATAAAGCCATTCTTCTGGACCATTAGTGGTAGGAGGGGTATTTTTGGAATTTTGATTGCGTTGATTTGAATAACGTTGGTGTGCTTTAAGGTCGCACTGCCACAAATTATATTGCAAATACGAAGGACCGGAATCCTACAATTAATCTGACGGTTCCCTATAATTGATTATCTAATCACTAAATTAATTTAGTGATATGCAGATCTTGCCCTAGTATAAATTAATTATAATTACTCTAAATTCCTCAAACTTTCAAAATTTAGGTAAGGTAAAGAGAGAATGGGAGGGTAGGATGGATATTTATAAAAAAGAGTTTTAACGAAATACTTTTGGTATTGTTCATTTTAAAGAAAAATTATATTTTTACTCTAAAAAATCACTTTTGGTACTATTCACTTACAATACATTTTTGTCATTTTGATTAAAATTCAAAGTTTTCAAGCTTTTTTCATTAATTTTCCTTTTTAAAAAAAATTCATTAATTGATACTATTCACCCCTGTATTAAAAAAATAAATAAAAAAACCGATTTTTCAAAATTACATTTTTCTGCTTCAGTTTTTACCTTCTTTTCTTCAATTATGTAAAAAAACTATTTTCAGTGTATTTACCAAAGCACTAAAATAACCTTAAGGTTTTTTTTTTTTTTGTAGTTTTTTTTTATCTTTTCTAAATTTTAGTTTTACCAAACTGGTACTTAGTTGACAAGAAGCCCTCTAATATGTTTAAATGCCATCTCCTCAATTGAATCACTTTTGGATTGGATTTTTTTTTGCTTAAATGATTTCAAATGGATGAGAGCCACTTAGTATTATAGTCTAGTGGTATTCCTCTTCACTTGTAAGTGAGAAGTCTTAGATTCGATTCTCGTCAAAGGCGAAGTTGAATCACATTATTATGACAAACCTATCATAAGGCTTAACCCACTCTTTCATCCTCTTAGTGTAGATATTGTTGTTTGTTAAAAAAAAAGAGAAAACTTAGTGAAAAAAGGGGATAAGCACAAAGTCAACACTCAAAAAGATTAATAATGAAACCTACTTCATTCAAATAGTTCAAACAACGATACATGATATAATCAATCTGTTTATGTTATAGTAAGGGAATTGACAATTAATATTACATTATGAATCTTCAAATCAATTGTTCATCTGTGTTGTAAACAAATGTGGGTTTGTATAATTAATAAGTTAATTAAATTTTAACATTGATCCAATGGTACTTAAACATAGGACGTTGGTTTTGTATAGTTATTAACTATAAATTGTATAGTTTTTTTTAGTAAAGCAATACGTTAGTGGGTCAATTAATTAAGAGTAAATTACATAGAAACTCATCAGGTTTGAGGTCTATTACAATCTCATACAACATCTTTAAAACATTTCACTTTCATACCTCACGTACTATTTTATTTCAAAACAACACCTCCATTAGATTTTCCATCCAATGGACTGTTAAATGCTGACGTGGCTGCCAAATTTGTGCTGATGTGGCTGCCACATGGCAAAAAAAATAAATTTTTATACATTAACAATATTATAATATTAACCCTAAAAAAATTTTTTAAAAAAATTTAAAAAAAAAAAAAAACCAGAAAACCCGAACCCATATCCCCTTCCCCACAACCCCACATCTCACCCCCACCCCCTTACCCATCTCTTCCTTCCTGTCCGTCTGTCCCCACCCCCTTACCCATCTCTCCCACTCTTCTTCTTCCTCCACACCAACCCCAACGCACTCCCTGACACCCTTTTTTCAATTCCTTCATTCCCTCTCCTTCTCTAGGGTTTGAACTTCGAATTCCACCCATCTCCCCACCTCTTCCCCCGCCACCCTCTGCCTCCATGCGTCTCTTTCCCCCAAAACCCATATCCCCATCCACCTCTCCCACCTCAAACCCCCCACCTTTAATCACTTATCTGCTTTTTTTTTTCACTAGTTTTCTTAGAAACCCTTGCAACCCATTACCTGCAAAACCACAACCCGCAACCCACTACCTGCAAAACCACAACCCACAACCCACAACCCAAATACCTGCAACCGTCGCCCGGGGGGGTCGCGAGCTTATCATTGACGGGAAGGGCAGAGGTGCCTAGATGGGTCGTCGCGGGGGGGGGGGTGTTCACAGCAGGTGGGTCATCGTGGGGGGGGGGTCACGGTAGGTGGGTCGTTGCACCGGGGGGGGTGGGTCACGGCAGATGGGTCGTCGCGCGGGGGGGGGGTGGTTTCACTGCAAGTGGGTCGTCGCGAGGGGGGAAAGGCAAGTGGGTCTTCGGCGGGAGGGGGGGAGGGGTTTGGTTTGTTCTTCTTCTGGGGGAGTTACAGATAGGTGGGGGAAATGAAGGGGATTGGGTTCGGGTTTTTCTTGTTTTTTTTTTTTTAATAGGGTTAATATTATAATATTGTTAATGTATAAAAAATTATTATTTTTGTCATGTGGCAGCCACATCAATACAAATGTGGCAGCCATGTCAGCATTTAACAGACCATTGGATGGAAAATCTAACGGTTGTATGAAATTGAAATAAAATAGTACTTGAGGTATGAAAGTGAAATGTTTTAAAGATGTTGTATAAGATTGCAATAGACCTCAAACCTGAGGGGCTACTATGTAATTTACCCATTAATTAATTGTCAAAAGTAAAAAAATCATCGAAAATTGAACTCACATTAAAATGTATAGACATAATTACTTTTCTTCACAATAGTAAAACGTCATATGCTATAATTTGTAAAGTTTAACTTGATGTTTCTTGAGTGTTCCTTTTTTGGTCAAGTGGTCCTTTGAGGAAAAAAACACAAGTGAGTCAATGATAAAATGGGTAGTCTCATACATTTGGTAATTGGTACTGTTGGGGAATGGGAAAAGCAAGGACCCCAAAGGCAAAGGAGAAAATGGTAAATGTGTGTGCATATGATTGGGTTTAGGCGGGAGCTAAAAGATCTCAAGCGGTCGGTCGGTCACATCAAACCCACGGAATCTTCGACTCAACTCAACTAAATCCCATTTTTTCTATTTTAATCCAACTTTTGTTCTTATTTTTTATTGCTAATTACCTACTAATTAGAAAGTAGTATAAACTGTAAATTTGAAAAAAACTTTGGATTATGCAAATTGTGAGTTATTAGGGAAAGGGAGATCAAGGGATCAAACATGCACCTGCGTGTGTAGATATTATTGTTTTCCACTAGCGACAGTAGTGCAAGGAGGGTGTTCGTCTCTCCGGTCGTTAGAAATCTCCTCCTCCACTCTTCATGGAGATTTTCGACGACCGGAGGAGCCTTTTATTGAAAAAAAAAAAAAACCAAGTCAAAACGACATCATTTTGAACTTTGGAAAAAAGGAATAGTAAAACGGCAACGTTTTGCTAGTTCTAAAAAAATATAACAAAACAAGAAGATCACTCGTCCCCCATTACACACACAAAAGTTGAAATTGATTCTAGACAAACAATTAGGCATGTCATCATAAAAGAACGATATTATAAGAAACAATGCTTAAATCATCATTCAAATGATACGGTTAGTCCAAATCCTCGTTCGAATATTTCAGGTAGTCCAAATCCTCCTTCAAATATTTCAATTAGTCCAAATCCTCCTTCGGATATTACCGCTAGTTCACAATAAAGTGATGTCACTAAGTTTGATGAAATTTTTGCTAATCTTCCTGCAGACGTTGGACTTAGACCTTAAATGAGTAATTATAAGCTTAATTATTGTAAAACAATTTGTAGACACTATCTACAAAAGGGTCCTTGTCAACCTTAAACCCACAAAGCACCACGAAAAGTTATAGGGAAGGACAATCAATGTTTTTATCACCCATTGATTTGATTTATTTGAGTGGTTGAATTTTAACACAACAAAAAGATTCTGTTTTATGTGAACAAAAGAGGAAAAGTAATTGAAAGGTTTTTGGGTCTTCAACATGTCTCCTATACAACTACTAGCAAACTTGCAGAGACTATTGAGATATTGTTTGCTATAACAAATTTGAGTATGAGGACCAGACTATGATGAAGCTAGTAATATGAAGAGCTAAATGCTCTTAAAACAAATATTTTGAACAAATATCCTTAAATATTTTATGTTCATTGTTTGGCACACCAACTTTAACTAGCTCTTGTAGCCCTAGCAAAGGGAAATGATGATGTTGCCACTTTCTTCGCAACGACTAGTATTTGGTTAATATTATTGGATTATCGTGTAAGCATCATGATGCATTTAGAGAGAAACAATAATAACAATTTAAGAAAGCTCTTGATATTTGTGTTCTTGAAACGGAAAAAGTGTTAAATCAAGAGAATAATCTCATGTATCCTTGTAATATATGTTGAAACTAACATTATAGTACTTATTATTGTTATGTTTCAACTTAAGGTGGAGGTGCTTCAAAGGATTATTGGTGATCGCAATGCTTTAAAAGGTGAAGGTGGAGGCGAGGTGTATCATGAATAGCTCTGCCTAGCCAAAAGTCTTGAGGCATGATAGCTTTACGGGACTTTAAATTTTTTGAATAAAATATCACTGGAGAGGGAGGGGCCCTGCTGGGGGAACAAGTAGGGCTGGGTTCGGTTTAATTCGGTTCGGTTTAATTCGGTTCGGTTTTTTGCCAAAACCGAAACCAAACCGAAATTTCGGTTCGGTTCGGCCCAATTTTTTTTCGGTTTTTTTTTCGGTTCGGTGTTTTCGGTTCGGTTTCGGTTTTTTTCGGTTTTTTTTTTTTTTTTTTTTTTTCCCCTCCAAAAAATGCAAAACAAGCACAACATAATATAGAAATAGAAAATATGACATGTTTCCATCTCTACGTATAAAGTCTCATAAAACTAAAAGTCTCATAAAACTTAAAGTCCAACTAGAAATAGAATCAATCATCAATCAAGTTTAAGTCTTCAAAAAGTCCAAATTAAACATCAAAGTTTAAGTCTTCAAAAAGTCCAAATTTAAACATCACACAAGTCAAATAAACCTTCAAGGTTTCATCACTTCATGTCTTGCACAAATAAAATCTTCCAAGTCTTCAAGCTCAAGCTCAACGCATAGGCGGCCTAGGAGGCAACATAGCACCTTTCTTTGAGCTTCCCCTTGCCATTTCTACATACAAATAAAAATAAAAATAAGAACATGACGTAAAGCAAGCGTGCAACATAGCATCTAGTTAAAATAGTCTAATAAAACCAAATGCCACCATGGGGAGTTGAGGTAGAGTTGATTCACCAACAATGCCCTTCAAAAATAAAAGAAAGAATCATTACAATTAAGTATTAAATAAACTACAGACTTAAGAACCATAGAGAAAGTATAGAGATGACAACTTACTTGCGATGGAGTAGACGTAGATGAGTTTATTTTTTCACGGGAGCTATTTGATGATCTCATTGAGTTTGAGCTTGAGCTCGAGGCCTTTGATGCACTTGACTTCATCTAATTAATAAGCAAAGGTAAGATACAAAACACAAACTATATGCACAAATGTAGTTATTATCATTAGTAATCTAGCAATCAATTAAAGGTGCTTTCTTATAATTATTTAACAAAAACAAAACATATTTTTCAATGTATGTTGTAAGACTTTACTAATATTAGAGCGGTGGTTTCAAAACTCAAAAGCAAGCTCTTTATTCAAAGAATGCATATATACTTAGTTTAGCTATAAATCCACTTTAATTATGTGATTTGGCTTTCCGCACACAGGCATGCTGAACATAACAATTAACAGATGGACATATATGGAATATGGATTGACTTGGCTCGGCTGGGTGTACATAGGGGATCAGTGGGGACCCTTAGACAGCTAATAAGGATGATGTGTCCATTGTTTGATCTTTTACCTAGCACCGTGGAAAATGATGTGGAAAAGGAGATGGGGAAGAAACCCAACAAATTGTAAGAAACAAGAATAACACACAAGGAGATGGGAAAGAAACCCAACAAATTTAAGCCAAATATTTTCCTTCTTGTGAATAACCAGAACGTCTTCAGTACGGAGTGAAAATGTATCACTTAAAAGGCCTCTAATGTTCTAATGCTTTGTGTTAGTTAAATTCTGGGATCTCATCTTTATATTCGTTATTTTCCCAGGGTTAATAGCCGTGGCATCTGTAGCAGGAATTGTGGGTTTCCTGTGGTTACTTTTTCCAATGACGTACCCAGATTTGTATAATGACAGAACAGATAATTGCAGATGCTGGCAAGGATATTGTTCCGGAAACTAACAAACAACCCACAAGTTCCTACATCGAGATAACCTAACAGAACCTAACAACCCTAATTTCAGTGCAGAACAAGCAAGCATCACATAGCAGTTAGCATACACGGCGAGAGTGTTAGACCACAGCGAGAGTGCAGAACAAGCAAGCATCACAGTGCAGACATGGCGAGAGTGCAGAAAAAGCAAGCATCACAGTGCAGAACCAAAATTTATCACAAATTAATCCAAAATTTATCACAAACTAACCTTGCAAAGGAGGGAATTTGTTGGTCGAGACTCGAAACGGCGAGAGGAAGCCGTGGGTCGTGCGCGGGTCACAAGTCACGGGTCAGGGGGGGTGAGATACCGAGAGTGAGACGGCGTCGCGTCGGCGAGAGATGTGTGAGACAGGTCGCAGGTCACTGGGAAGGAAGAAGACGAAGCGGAAGAGCGGAAGAGCGGCGGAGCTGGGAGGAGATGGTCCACAGTGAGAGTACAGAGGAGAGGGAGGCGTCGATAAGGGAAAGGGAAGGGAAGATATGTTTAGGGTTTCAGTCGACTGAAGTGAAGACAGAGAGAGTGAACTGAAGCTGAACGACGTCGTTTTTCATATTAATCGGTTCGGTCCGGTTCGGTCCGGTTTTCGAACCCCAGAAACTGAACCGAACTGAACCACATTCGGTTCGGTCCAGTTTTACACTTTCGGTTCGGTTTTTTTTTCGGTTCGGTTTTTTTCGGTCTCGGTTCGGGTTTCGGTTCGGTTTTTTTCGGTTTTCGGTTTTTTGAACCCACCCCTAGGAACAAGGAGTCGAATTAGCTGCCTTTTATTAAGCGGTGTGCTATCCACACATCGTATTTTACTTCTCACACCCTTTGATAATTTCTGTCCGTTGATCTTCTTCAATTCATCCGATTCGACGGTCGAAAATTAAAAAGGTGTGTGAGAAGTAAAATGAGGTGTGTCGATATCACACCCCTTTATTAATTACACACTTGATGACAATATAGTTACTACACTACACTTGAAAACAATTTCAACAAAGACTCTGCTCCAACAAGTAGGCGAATTAGCTGCCTTACTTTTATCAATTAATCGATCACCTACCAATTATCCAAATATGCATTTACATATTTAATTAGAGCTCCACCACCACCACCCACCACACACCACACACCACACACCACACACCAACTTAAAATCCTTCACATTCTAATTATTATTTCCCTCACTTTTTACTTCTCAGTCACTGCATACTAAACCAAGTACAATATTAACTCTGTTTACCATTTGATGCAAATGCCACCCACACAGAAGCATACACAGCGAAATAAAGACTGCAACGACACAATGGAACTTGCTAAACCCACAAAACTCATTCAATAGAATGGTGGAACAAAAAACAGGTATAATGCATCCATCTCCTTTACTTGTCCGGTCGGTCAGTGTTTTCCATCTTTGGAGCATCAGCAGCAGATACAAAAAAGGGCTCATGATCACGTCGAACTTATCTTATCCTAAACCCTGTTCCGAGGCCTCAGAATATCCTACTCCTACACAAGGAAACCGCTTTAACTTGGTTAATTCTATTCTCTCAAGTCTGGGAAAGAAACCATGGATTAACATATGCACATGTATACGACTGTACAAACTACCAAGGCTGCATTCCGTAGATAATCCATCAACCTAACCTAAACTTTCCAGATCCAAAAACTATGACAAACGCCGCATTTCTACTCAGGTTTCTTTGCAGATTCAGAATTTTCTTCCTTTTTAGACTTAATAAATGATCTTTGCGCTTCCAAGACCGGCATATATGCTTCAGTTGTTTTTCTTACAGTGTCCTTGGTTGCCTTGTCAGACTCACGAGGGCTCACCAGCTTCTTCTCAACGTCTTCGAACTTGGCAGTGGCCAAAGGAGCCGTCCCCACGTTCTTGTTAGAACTGGGTGAGTCAATTGTGAGCATTGAAACCACATCCCGGGCGGCATACCATGAATGACCACAGGAAATACACTCCAGCTGAAAAATGAATGAGAAAGTAAATTCCATTTGCAAGAAGGAAACAAATGATATAGCTGTTACAATCTAATTTACCCTTGAAACAACGTTCATGCATTAAGCTTAGGGACTGAAAAGCAAACGAGGCTACAGACATCCATGGCGATATCATCTTTTAGTGAAAAAAAAATCAAATACTGGAAAGAGAACTCAATGATACTTTGCCAGAACCAGAAAAAAAATTGGTAGATAGAGATAATGTACAAACGTCTTTCATCCATCATCATCACCTACTTTTAGTCAGAATACAGCTAATATCAAAAGTTTAGGGACTGAAAAGTATGCAATTCAACCTTGAACGTTGCCAGCAAAGCCGAACGCCTTGGCAAAATTAGGGGCGGTACAAGGCAACATAAGAAACCAGATAGAACAACTGATGTAGTGATCACAATGTGTAATTAAGCTGATCATAGGCTTTGATACACACGAGATATCCAATGTTATAATTTAATGGGAAAAGTAGTTTTGAGTTGCCAAATCAATGCCCACCAGCCCATAGTTGATGCTTGCCTATAGAGTCTAGACGGTAGGTAAGCCTTTCAGATTACTCAACTTAACCCCTACTCTGCCGTTGGTATGATACCAGAGACATCTTTTCTTTTTGGTATTTTCGTCGGACCTGGACTATTGCACACCAGACTTAGTCCTCAAACATTACCCGTTATTTTGTATGCTCCCAACAGTGTATAATCCCAGTTTAAAAAGAAAAATGTAGAGGCAAAAGCAATCGCCACTTGCCTTCAGACTCTGGTTGGTGACCATATCATATATTAATCTCTATATGCACAAACCTGATAGCGAGCACTATTTCCTGCTTGAATAATGTCCCTAACTCCCACTTTAAACTCCGAGCATCTTGAGCAACGAGCATCAGTCATCTGACTCACAGGCAAGAAATCAACAACGAGCACAGAACATATATACTGCAGAGTGCAAGGTACTCAAAACCGACTACAGGTACAAATAAAATCACCTGCATACGCTCCCAATCATCAGGCTCCTTCTTTGCTCTCTCCTCAGCCGTTAAACCCTCCTGAAATAAAAACCATGAAAGCAAGAGCAACTATAGTATTATCCCTTTTGCATACACCAAGAGTTGGCCATTGCAAATACATCTTGTCTGATCATACATGGATACTCAAAACGTATCATGTCAAGAGGCCATACTCAACCCAGGGCAGAGGAACTACAGACGCATTTTATTCTATTCTCAACTGAGACCTTCATACAAAATGAGAGAAAAAGTGAACAAGTAAGCCTAGTCCCAGACTCCCAGCTAAGGCATAAATACCTAGAGAATTGCTGAAGCAATCTTGACTCTACATCTTTCACCTGAAATTAATGTATTCATTCCACATAGAAACATCCACAAAGTTACTCTTTAGATCTTATGAACTTTATCGAAAATATGCAAAATAAAAGAACAAACCAACTCGAAAACACCTTAATTCAACAGAAATGAAATAGTTTACATGAATTTCTGTGCTATTCCATAATAGGTCACCTTTCATTAAATTTATCTGTCTTGAACAAGTAGAAGTTTGTTTCAAATGACCAAATCGTCCCAGGAAATTGTCATCTTTAATGAAAAAATTGGAGCACTCATGAAAAAATTAGACCTCTTTAGATGTTATGGACAAATTCTTCACTAAGCATGTTTTTGCTTCCACAAAAGGAATTGAAGTTCCTTGATTTTAAAAGCAAACAAATCAACATGCAGAACCTAAAAGCTAATAGTACCACCAATTTTTCTATGGCTATCTGCTTTGAAGACTAGTCGGATCTAAAGCTAAAAGTACCAACAGATTCTCTATGAATAACCTATTTCAACCCAAACACCCAAATATCAAACATATCCATGATCGTTCACTTTCCTCAATAAATGCTCCCCACCAGTTGAACAGCCTTAACAAACTTTTCTCTGATAAAAACCTTACATGGAAATGAAAAGAAAGGAAGGAAAAAAAAATGACAACATCCAAAGATATAAGAGACTTGTGTCCACTCGTGCTGCTGGCATACATACTTCCATCCCTCCTAAATTAGCAAACGGTAAGTTAGGCTAAAAAGGAAGAATTTGTCAGCAAAGATGTTACAAATATGTCCAGTGAGACCAAAAGCAGCTACAGGAAACTGAATCTGATCAAAATCGAATACTTAATCTTCCTTGAGAATCATCACAAAAATGAACCACCTATAAATCAAGCCATGATAAAGACCATACCTTTAACTCATCGGGTGACATGTTCACTATTGTTAAAGGTTCCAATTCTTGATTTAGCAGACGACGGGCTAGGAACGAATTTTTCTGCCAGGAGGAGAATAAATATAAGAACAAAAAAAAGGAGTGAAAAAAGACATTTGAAGAAGAAAAGAAGGTCGGGCCTCAAACAAACCAAAAATATAGTGTTATTTTTTTTAATGGAAAAATGCATTGTTCTTTATAACACAGTTGGAAGGTCTTTTCAAAAATATGTTATCTGCACGCATATGCATGACCATGAGCATACAAACACACAGAACCTTCTGACCTGGAGATTGAATCCTAGTTGCCGCAACTTCTGGTTATACTTTTGGAAATCAAAGGAGAGAGATTCATGCGAAGCCTTCTCTAGAGAAGTAACTGCATGAACAGCATCCTCTGGCCAGAGAAAAGACGTTTTGCCACTCTGAATAATACGGTAAAGTTAACAAGTGAGTTATAGCATCTCCAGATACTCCACTCCTGATTTCCAGTGCACCCCCTTCGTCAAACAAACCAAAGGATAAATATAGAGCTGCCAAACTGAGGGTGAATTGCATACCTTGAGATTATCCTGAGATCCATTCCCAACTTCTGGGGACTTATGGTCACTTTCATGATCAATATCATCAGAACCAGATTTTCTCTTTTCAACACCGTTCGTGGTGTCAGCAGAGTTGCATACATGGTGCCGAATATTTTGAAGAAGTTTCTCCATCCATCTGTCACGTAGTGTGTCTCCGGTTAGTGCCATGGACTTGGCTAAAATGGAATGATATTCTGTGTTACTTGTTGTGCAGCTTCCAGGTGTTTCAGCTTTTTGATTTGGGCCAGGCCTAGCAGTTGCTTCTTCCACCCTAGAAACGTCAAGGGGTGACATATTCTTTTTAATCTGACCACTTTTAGTCTTCAAATGATCACCCTGATAACCAGTGTTATCTGCAATCTCTATATCAGGAAGTTCTCCCAATAGTTTAATAGTTTTCTTAACTAACAAGTAAATCTCATGTTGCTTATCCTCTTCATAGTCTCTATCTGTCAGCTTCCAGAGTTTTTTCCCTTGGGTGTCATACACCTTTTGCACAATGAAGCCAGGATGCTGTTTACGACTTGGCAGCTGTTTGTTTAACGGAACAAAATGAACCAAACATTTATGCATTACAGATTCTGCAGGAACCTCATCACGATGGAAACTATAAAACAACTCCCTTGTATCAGTTGATTGCCAGTTCCCCCCAGCTTTTTTCTCTGCCTCTTCAGGACGATAAAACCACTGTCCTAATACCATCATGCTCCCACCTCCGGTCCTACTTATATCCTAATTAATCCCCAGTTCCAGCAATCATAAAATTAAAGATAAAGTCATTGTGAATATGAAGGAGATGAAGGAGAATAACTGCTTACAAAGAAAAAAATAGAAAGCAAATCTGCTGCCCATAACTTCACAATAACAAGAAGCCCACCAAAAAGCTTAATAGAACACAGACCACCATGCCAAGAATTTCAAGGCAAAATATTTGAGCAAAAGGTATATATATTTAAAGGAAAACTAACGAAAAGTCCAAAAAAACTTTAGTTTTAATGAAAAAGGACAAATAAAGGAGTACTGAATAGTACCAGGTAAAATTGTAGTTTTTCGTTAAAAATGAACAGTACCGGGAGTGTTTCGTTAAAACTACCTATATTTAAATGGTCAAAGGTGAGGATAAAGTGAATCACAGGGTAAAAGTGAATAACAATACATGAAGCAATCAACATGCTTATCACCACACAGTTAGCCTGTATTTGAGAATTTCTCGATGTATATATAACCCCTATATCTTTGTTATATCTATACATGTCCTTTGGCCACAAAATGCATACCTGCTGATAGTTTAGTTGTTTTCTCAACGTGATCTTAAATCAACATCTACTAGAAGAAAAGTAGGTGACCCGATCATGGAAACCTTCATCATATAAAAACCCCTATAGTTAGTTGTTTTCAACCAAAAAGATATCAAATTTTCACCACCTTACTAAAAAGTAGCCATGTTTCACAATCTGAACAACTAATCATAACCTGAATTTCACTGCTGATCTACTATAAATTTTAGAAACTTGGGCCTCAAGTAATGAAACGCAAATACATTGAACAATGTGAAAGGCAAAATGTTTAAAAGAATAAAAAATAATATCCATAGACAAAAGTGATAATATGATTTCATAAAGCAAGTACCTTGATAATTGCCACATAAGGCTTTTGTCTTGTATCCTCAGGAGTTAGAAGAACAGGATCCTCCTACAGAGTGACTACATGATCAGTGTGAAACATTAAATGAAATAAACGACTGATACCTCATATGAAAAATCTAGAGGTATTCAAAACCTAGGGTATATGAATCAAATAAATGAACTTTTCAAATCTAAACCATTTGAAAATTATATACACACAAGCACCTGTCACACGATATCAACAACAACAACAACAACAACAAAGCCTTACCCCACTAAGTGGGGTCAGCGGTATGAATCTTAGAACGCCATAAGGGGGGAAAAAAGACAGTACACAAAACCATCAGGTACACAGAAGTTCAAGTGACAACAACATTTGTCAAACATCCTGAGCATAAAACTATATAGAAATATTACATTAACATGAAACACTTTATGAGAATTATTTCTGCATGTACAAAAGCATACATTATACCAACAGCAAGAAACAGAAGGAAGAGATATTCAATCAAAAATCTTTACATAGACAAGTAATTTGAATTTTTACAGTATCTTCTTGTCAAGGGACAAGAAGAGTAAGGCTGCTGGAAACTCAAAACACAGAAAGTCTATAAAAAAAACACTCAAATCTGAAAGCTTTCATGTATCCAGAGCTGCACTCATCCCATGTTTCCATAGCAATCAGCTGAGGACCTATTTGCTTCAACATCGTAACATTTTCTGGTTCAGAATCCAACATGCAAAGTTACTTTTACACTACAAATCGCATGTAGAAATTTATCCGGGAGGGGAAACATATAAAATGTCCAAAAAAAAACAGGGAAAAATAGGAGCTGTGCTTAAAGTAATAGACAAAATTTCTAGAACATTCAATTGCCTCCCTAGTCACAAGAAGACAACAACAACGTGTTTGTCTGCATACAAAACTCAATCATTCCCTCTTTGGAAAATTTGACAGTAAGTTTCACGGGATCAGTAACTGTCCTAGACGAAAATGCAAATCGCAATTCTATCATTTCTTGAATTGACGTATAAAGAGACAGAGAAGTTCCAAAAGTAAATGACACCACAATGCCAGCTTAAACAGCAACAATTTCTAAACAAATAAAGTGTAAATTTTTCCTACTGTGCAGCAATGAATCAAAACCAACAAAATTCCACAAGAACGAAACGAAAACCCAATTCACCAAACCTTACAAACCCAACAATCAAAACCAAAAAATTTCAAGATACACAAAAACAACAAAGTACCCAAATTTCACAATTCTAATAATTCTGCAATACGAACAAATTAATCAAACAATGCCAGAAAAATCAGAACCCTAAAACCCAACCAACAAACACAAAATCACAAAACCCGACCAGAAAACGAAAACTGACCAGGTCAAATCGGGTCCCGTCGTACTCAAACGCCTTGTAGTGCTGCCTCCGCCCCCTTCCCTTCCCGGAAAGCTTAACCACCTCGCCAATCGGCTTCAAGTCCTCAATGTGTGGCTCCTCCTCCTCGTCTTCGCTGCCCGATGCTGTTTCGGCCTCTTTCTCCTTCCCTCCCCTCCTCTTCTTACTCTTCTGCTTCTCTTCCTCCTCCGACTCTTCGTCGTCCCCTTCTCGAATCTTCACCTGCTTCCTCTTCCGCGACGACGTCTCCCGCGCCGTCTGCTGGTGATTCCGCGGCGAGACGTCGTCGTCTTCGTCATCGCTCGTCGAGACCTGCGCGAACCTCCTATTCCCCATTTCTTCCAGGCGAAACGGTGCGTTTTGGTAACCTGCTTGTCAAGGGCTCTTCGCTCGCTCTCTCTGCTGTGTCTCAGAACAGGGAGCTCCAAGGACGATGACCTGGGTCGTTGCGGTATTTATACGGACGCCGTTTGGGATGCGAAAACGGACCCGTACTTTGACGGAATATCGGATTTGCCACTGTAGCGACTACGTGTGTATTGGAGAATATACGTGGGGGTTCGTTGGGATCACACCTGGCATTACAGGAGTGTGGAAGTTGAGGTTGTTGAGGAGAGGGTTGTAGAGGGGTCTAATGGACTCAAGGATGACGCCGAATATGAGGTTTTCGAGGAGGCAATAGAGACACAGGAAATTTGCAGGAGCAGGGGAGCAAAAATGATTTAGTGGATGCTGCTGCTGTTGGTGAAGAAAGAAAAGCTGAGACGGTTGGTGGTTTGCAAAAAAAAAAAAAAAAAAATTGTTAACGGTGAAACAGATCACCCGTTAACTTTACGGGTTGGATTTGAATGATCCGTTAGTTTAGCGGGTTGGGTCTGGATGACCCGTTAATTTAACGGATTAGGTTCAACCCGACTCAAACCAAATAAACCCAATGTGTTTACAGGTCTAGTTGGGATTGAGACCGAGAGGAAGAAAGTGCTCTCCTTGCTTGAGGGTTGTACCGATTGTACCCTTATCGTCTATTTTTTTTTTAACAAACGATAATGTAGTTCAAATTCGTATTTAGCAAGAATCAAGCTTAAAATCTCTCACAATTATACCCTTATCGTCTTGGATGTACAATTCATTAGCACAATATTTTCTATATCTTTTGTTAGTACTACAATTTAGCAATATTCATTTTCATTTGTAAACGAGAAGTTTTTAAATTTGAGTCTCGCCAATAGTGAATTTAAACCACATTATTACTAGCGTCCACTTGTTAACAAAAATTTGAGTAAAAAAATTAATAAACAATAGTTAGATTACTAACATGATTTAACACTAATACCGTAATACGATGAGTCAGTTGTTTTTCTGTTTGATAACCATTTTGTTTTTAAATTTTATTTTTTCACATTTTTGTGCTTGTGAATGGAAAAATATCCAACATAAGGAAGAAATGAAGAAGAGCAGAGGAAAAATGGCAGACGAGATAAATAAATAAATAAATAAGGGTTACACAAAAAGCAAATAAAAAACTATTTCAAATCGTTTTCACTTTGAAAACTAAAATAAATAAAAAACAAATAATTATCAAACGACTCCTAAATTTCTATCTTCGACCTGCTTTCTTCGTCCTGCTTTGCTTTATGTCTCCTCCTAGTTGACTCGGAACAACTTGGTAGAATTATTCAGTGGGTTCTTATCGTGCAGCAGGCTTCATTTCAGGCAAACTCCCTTCTCCTTCAATCAAAGAATCAACATGGAATCAACATGCTATTTCATATCATTCGAAATTTGATCTACCGAACTACAAAATTGTTATGCACTCCTGGGCCATCGAAAGGGATTGTCAAATCAAACTGATTTTTCGGATGTTATTGTGATCACTGCGTATAGCAATCTCCTTCAAACTGGTCCATGATTTTCTCCTCCTTTTGTTTGACGTGCTAGTTGTGTTTTCAGCTATTGAGGTGGGACTGCTCTCACGTTCAGCTGGTTTCTTGGTCGCCGAATTGTTTCTCCTTCTCTTCTTCCCTCCCAACAACAAAGCAATTCCAGTCTTCACCGCTGGAGTTGCAGGAGTATCCACGCCAGGAATCTCTGTGCCTGCTGAAGGAGCTATTTCATTCGCCTTACTAACCTCACCTTCGCCTGCAAGAGTGTTGACTGCAGGAATCTCTCTGCCTGCGGAAGGAGCTATCTCCTCCGCTTTACTAACCTCATCACCTGCTGTGATCTCCTTTGAGTTGATAAACTTCTTGGAGATGGACTTAAGTTTTAGATTCGAAGTTGTTTTGGCCTTAGGGGGGCATATCATTTTCATATGTCCATTTGGAGTCCCTCTCTTCACATTCCGGTGTGAACAGAAGTGGCATGTATACACTACATTGTTTCGAGAGAAATTAGTAATCTTCTTACTTCGTCGTCGTACCTTTGCTCTATTTTTCTCAATTCGAACAGTGCAGTTGAAGCCAGGCTGAAGAACTGTTTCACATCTGCAAAATAGTGAAACATTGATTACGGGTCGTGCCTTTTAATATACTTTATAGTATCATTCATTTCAAAATGTATGTTGTCCAAAATTATAAAACCTACAAGGCTACAACACACATTACACGCATCCAAAGACAAATTGATTCCAATAATTTTTTTCATGTAACGTAATGGCTGACACATTTCAGAGTCGAAGTCATGGGACTTAAGCTCTATGCTTATCTCAAAAGCACTTCAGTTTGTTTGAAAACATAAATTCAAGGTGACATAAAATCCAAATCAGGTACTCAGTAAAGCAAAAAACGATACATGCCTCAGTCAGATTCATGTTTCATGTCAATACGGTATACAGTGCAAAACAAGTTAAGCAGAAAAGAAAGCCCTACAATTACGGTTTGTGAGAACTTTGTTAGGATTTTATCTATTCATGGGTTAACCAATAGCATTATGGCACGGAATGTTGGGTGGTGATGTATCAACACGTACATAAAATGGGTGTAGCGGAGATGAGAATGCTTCGTTGGATGTTTCTTAGTTTATATATCTGACTTTCAGGTTAGTCGAGTCAGAATCCTATTCTCTCTCCACCTTTCGAGCCTAACATTCCATTAGATGTTTCTTAGTTTATATATTTGACTTTCGATGGTGAATCCTAGATGCATGTTGTTCCCATATAACTATGTAACAATTAAGAATTTCAGAACTCCAACACGTTTAGCTACGCAACCAGAACTTCAACACGTTTAGCCATGCCAAACAGTTTCAAACCTATCCAAACCAATAAGATTTCCATCTTTAAGGTGTACTAAGCTTAATCAAGGTGGAATGTAACTTCAGTAAGCATCATGATTACAATCAATTATCTTTGTGGAATGCGGGAATGGTTAAGCTAAATATGAGGTTATATTATGAAATCCTACAGAAGATACGCAATCCCATGAAACTCAAGACTCCTTATAAAGATACGCAAGTCAATAATGCCTGTTATAGCTGGATTAGTTTGGTTCATTTTGGTAGAAAGAATCTATCTCGTTGGTTTTATAAATTTCTATTGCAATCCAATCCAAATGACTTGGATGGGACTAAAGCGAGTAGCCTGTTTTCTTGTTTCTTTTTCTCAACAGCTCTAAGTCATGCCACATTCAAAGAGCTAATTTTGTATCAGGGACAACAAACTTTCAATCACAAAAATATTACAATGATCATATGAAACCAATAGTTTACAATCCCACCTTAACAGTGAGCAGTTCATGATCACTTCCTAACAGAAATTCAAATCTTCCACCATTTTTTGACAACCAATCCTACAACATGCAAAACCCACAAAATTAAACTAAAAAGGCAAGTAAATCCACCTATAACCACACCAAATTCAAATACAATAAACCCTCTTTTTCTTTTGGGGTTTTTCAATAAAAAATCTAAAGATTTTTTGCATACCTCTGGCAAGGGAAGAGAGAAGGTTTAGGGGGCACACCGATGGCCTCTTGGGCAGCGGCCAAGGTGCACCCAAAGAATGCACCCAAAGAAGGAACAGAAGTCTCCGCGCCAGTCCACACAGCAAGTCTCTGCAAGTGCTCGAGCTTCAGCGCGGCCTTGGCATTGATGGAGAAGCCGCCCTTGGTCTGCTTTTTCCCGGTCAGTTCTTCTCTCAGTGATATGTTATTGGTAGACGCGAATGAGATGTTTGGCGCCCTTTGAGCTCCTCCTCCTCCTCCTCCTCTCCTGCCCATGGCGGTGCTTTGTTTTGGGGAATTTTGTCCAACAGTTGGACTGCGCCGCTGCACGGTTTATTTGATTTATTCGATGGACTCGGTGCGGACTAGACTACTGCTTATCTTCTCTTCTTCAAACTTCATCACGGCCGCTCGTTTTCATGTGAAAACCAGGACGGCCGAGATTCGATCAAGCCAAATGATGCGCATGGTATGGACAATATTTGTATCTTCACCCCCAAATCTACAAGCCCGATGGGTCGAGTTGGCAACTTGGCCCAAATCGCACTCAATCCGCCATCGAGCTTTGATTTTCTTTGATAAAAATATGTATTTATACTATGATAAAAGTATGCTTAGGCAGTTCCTTCGCTGAGCACAACAGAATGAAGAGAAATTTGTATCATTTCAAATCCCTATTCTTATCGAACATAAGGAATAAGAAAAACCAAAATCTTCCTACTCGAACAAGAAGTCCTATAGTTTACAACTCTTCTTTATATAGAAATTCGACCTATTGCTCCGCATCCCCCCATCAGTTTACTATGAAGAGAAGAATCAAAAGGATTGAACTACCTATTCATTAGTCAGAGGTGAATCATAGAACACTAAAAGCTGTGGTATCTTATGGACCTAACATAGGTCACATCCCTCACAACATAAGATTGAAAGATCTAAACCTTCATCTTCGGAGCGGAAACGGACGTGGCCAAAACATATAAAGATCGGCGCAGTCGCTCATAGGGGCATATCTATCCGGATAGAGGATAGTCTAGATCGATTCATAGATAGATTTCTATCCGGTATCTCCGTGGGTAGAGATAAAGATAGGGATCCATCTAGATCTTGATTCACTATTTCCTTTTTTTCTTTCTTGATTCTGATTGATTGCCTTTTTTGTGGCGACAAGTTTTAAATCTTAATGCAGGCTGGAAACATCATTTTTCAATTATTACTTGCTGGGTCGGAGTGTAGACGAGCAAGTAGAGCCCAAGAAACTGGGAAGCCCGTCATTGAGCAGGCGACTAGGCGGCCTCTCCCAGAAAACATGGCCCAATTTCTCTTTCTTTTTCTTTTTTTTCTTTTCAGGTTTCTTTATTTTTTCAGGGGCCCAAAACACTAAAGGGTAGGGGAGAAGCAAGCCGAACCTCTAATCGACCTAGACACATAAAAAATTCTTGGCGTCCAGAGAGATTTGAGATTCCATAAGTAACTTAGTGCAACATGGCAAATTTCATTGAGAGGAATCAACAAAGAAAAGAAAAACGGGTCAACATCTTAATAAGATTTGATGGTTGCATTACTGTGAGATGCCCAAAGACTCCCGTGCCTTTCTTGGTTGGACCAACCAGATTTCCACAAGTCTTTCTGTTATTGCAAAAGAAAAAGCGGAACTACAAGTGAATCTTAATAAAAAAGCTTATGATGAGCATCTATTTGAGTCAAGCATTTCCAAGATCTAATTCAAGTTTTTTTCTTATGTAGTGGAAATGCCTTACAATCTGAAGTTTTCCGCTTATGGGAAGAAATATTCTTGGTGGATGCAGAACCTGGGACCCCTAGAATTTGTATGCAAGATTAGCCTACTGGAGTGCCAATCAACCGAGCCGCCAGGTTTGAGAATAAGGTGGGATCTCTGAATGTAGTGGCCCGTGAATCACCGATCAAAAAAGCAGATTTTGGAGAGATTCTTCATTGATGTAGTGGTCGGTGAATCACTGATCAAAGAGCGAACAACTGCCAGGTTTAATGATTTTAGTGGGATTCACAGATGTAGTGGCTGGTGAACCGCTTCTTCTTCTTCCGCGAAGATTCAAACAAAACCGAGCTTGGATGAAAATGAACAAGATTTGGCGAACGAATACAAAGGTAAATGGCTTTATTATTGAGAAAGTAAAAGAAGGTTATTCAGTAACTATCGCGGGTTTCATTACTTTTCTTCCATTCCGTCCAAAAATAAGAAAAGGATATCGAATGATCGATTCACCATTGAGAGGATTAACCTCAAAAGGACGAATATTGTGGTGTTTTAACAGCGGTAGATCAAACAAGAACTTTTTTTTTTTTTTGGATGTATCGTGCAACTAGGTAAGGAAGAGACTGTTTAAGGTCACAAACGAACCTAAGCACACGATCCATATCCTTAATCGGAGTGATGAACGGTTCAAAAGTATTCTTTGATATCTTCTTTGCAAGGATAACAAGCCGATACAAAGAAAATATAGAAAGATAAAATCGAACGCATTCATCAGCCCGATGACCACCACCGTAGATCACGCGACAATGGAACATGGGAATTATACTAGGGTACCTTCGACGATTAAGAGATACTGGAACAGACGATAGTTCAAGTTCACGACAATCGCCACCATGAGCGATCAACAGTGAAGATGAACACTGCTTTAAATATAAGGCAGTGGACAGAAATCCTGAACGTCTAACTAAGCTTAGTACTCTTCGAGCGAATAGGTGAGTGGTAATACAGTACTCCTTAGTATAACCGTCGAATAGTATCAATTGGACCTTAGAAAGAATCCCCTTGATGCTACGAAGATCTTCTAAAATCTTCTGCCACTGTAGTGGCTTAAGTCGGAGTACAACATCGAATAACCATGTCATGATACAATGATTACTTTGCAGAGTTTTGTAGACATGCAAGAATGAAAACCTCGTTCTTTGGTTTACAAAGTTCCCACTGTAAGAGAGTTACCAAACTCATCTCGTGTTACATGTCATGAGGTTTGCTCCACGCCCTACGTTGTTGTAGATAACAACGTGTTATCCGATGGTACAAGACGAAAGACGCTACAGACTCATCCACATGGTACTTCATCATGTGAGATCCTAGAATGGCACTTAGTTGGTTACTAAGGCGTCATCCTGGTGAGTTTACCAAACCACAAGAACGTGTGGTTTCCAATGGTATATCTATAGATATTAGCCATATCTATAAACCACCATTGGCGCCACAGGCACATACTAACCACGATTGTGTCCGGAAGACACAGTAAGTGGCAAGGTGTTTTTTTTTTTTTTTGTTAGAAAAACCCAAAAGCTTCATATGTTATATTTAGGGAGTCAAACGGACATGCCGAGTTAAGCAAGGTTTTGTTTGGCATGCTTTCGATTAATGTCGAATTTTGTATGCGTGGGCATTTTAGTGGTTTTACCGACAAACCCAACCAACCAACCGAAATGGTTTGGGTTGGGTTGTAAAATTTAAAATTTTATTTTCGGGTAAAGACCCGATTACTCGTTCAATAAATGAATTGAGTTGGGTGGAAGCATTATTAACCAAACTGAAATCGACCAACCCGAATGTTTTGCACAAATAGACTGGATCGGCTCAACTTGTTCACCAGTTAGTACTTGGATTATCAATTTTGTCGATCTAGTGTATGTGTTTAATAAGGAAATCAATATAGTCTACTATGTCCGGTTACCATTAAAATCTTAATTAGAAGATTGATTTCTAATAAACAAATCAAATTGTCACTTGCCTACAATGTAACAATATTCTTGTTACCAGTAAATGAGATGTATCATAGCCGATTCACTTGAATGGTGATGAGTATTGTAATTAGATGAAATCGTTACATGTTTTCCTCTTAGTTCGTGACAATTGACAATTAATATAATTATTATAATATCGAGAGAAAAATTTACCTATTGCATTAAAAGTCTAAAACACGTCTATGCACGTTATATACTCATTTTGGTTGCTCTCGTCACATTACACTTATTTTTTTCTTTCTCTTTTAAACTTTGTAATAATAATTTTACGAAAAATTTAACTAAACGAAACATATTGAGGAAGAAAGTCGAGTTTTCTTTATAAATCGTGGTGAACTGCTTTGGTTGTTAAAGTCTTTATGTTCAACCCATTATGTCCCAAGTTCAAACACTTTTCCTTCCTCTCTAGTTTGTGTAAGTTAATGTAAAATATCGTTTATAAATAAAAATAAAATAAAATAAACTCATGCAAAGTTTGGCTTTTCTTTCCTATATGACTTAAAAAAACAAAAAAACAAAAGACCAACTAGTGGTTTCGTTTCGGTAGTCCATCATTTCGAAGACTATGAAGATTTACAGAGACATTTCAACCTTACTCTGGCCACCATCGTGCGATTCATCAAATGCAGAAATCAAACTCAAAATATACAATTTGAAATACAGGCTTAGAATTCTTCCCTAACCTAATTCTCTGGTATATGAATTTATCTTCCACATTTCATAACTGCATGGAAGTTTTTGTAAGATTGTAGTGCCAACGTGCCGTACTTAAGGGTGCGTTTGGTACGCAGACGGGACGGGACGGGACGGGACGGAACGGGACGAAACGGGACGGGACGGAACGGGACGGAACGAAGGTGTAATGTTTGAAAAAGACATGGGGTATATTTGTCTTAAAATGGTAAAACATTGTGTTCCACAGACGTGGAACAAACCCGTTCCAGGGGGGGAGGTGGAACGCAAAAACACCCAAAACCTGTCCTGTGGAACAGCCCGTTCCACCCATTTTTGGCGCACCAAACGCGGGACGGAACGCCTCGTCCCATTCCGTCCCGTCCCGTCCCACGTACCAAACGCACCCTAAAGGCGGCTGCTCTAACAAATTTTGTGGCATCGGTGGCAAAAGTGTGGACGCCGTTGAAAGTTGAAGTGGCCGACTTGGCTTTTGTGTGGCCTCGGATTTAGCAGAGATGATGAAACTGGAATTGCTTGCTTCTGGAGCACAAACAGTTGAAAGGATATTCACACTTCCAAAATCAGGTTCAGGCCCACCTACTTAATTTGTATAAGTGAGATTATATTCACACATCTCAAATTACTTTTCTTATATCTTTTTAATTTTTTAATATTTTCTACACATCACTAACATTTGATAAAAAAATATTAAAAAATTAAAAAGGTGTAAGACAAGTAATTTTGAGTATGAATATAATCTCCTTTGTATTATTATTTGGTGTCAATTCTTAGTTATATTTCTACACCGTAGGCATAGGGTCCTAGGACCACACGTTTAGTCCACCTATTAAATAGGGGTGCGTTTGTTGCGTCAGACTATCTCGGACTGGATTAGCTTTGGGGACTAA